CCTGGAAGGTGGTCTCTCAGCTCCTGGTGTACATTTTGGTTGTACTGTTATACAGGGTTCATGTGAGTCATGTTTTGAAGTACCTAGGGATGAATGATTTCAGATTGTTTCAATGTTAGGACAGTTCTTTTAACCCTGACCTCTTAACCACCCAGATATTCATCATGCCACGTTTGATGTCCGTGCTGTCTGTTACGCAGGCCCTAAATTTTGAAATTCATTTTTTAAATTTTTCTACTTCCCCTTCTCTGAGCCTTTGGTCACCATGTCAGTGTTTCAAATTTGGTTTAATAATAGTTCTGTGAATCATTATTAAACATTTCACTATGTTGAAAGGACATCATAAATGTGAGCTGTAGTTGTATGATGGACATTCCTTCCTATGTTCTGTGTACTTACAGTGATCAGGTGTGTAGATGCAAATAGTGTATTTGATGTGGTTTATATGACTTTATCAAAGCCTTTGGTAAAGTCCCACATAGGACCTTGATAAAGAAGAGAAGAGCACATGGATCCAGACTAATTTGGCAAGTGGGATCCAAAATTGGCTGAGCGCTAGGAGACGGAGGATGTTGGTCGAAGTTTGTTTGCATAACTGGAAGCCACTGTATTGGCGTGTCACAGGGATCAGTACTGGGTCCATTATTGTTCATGATTTCTCCAAGCGAATATGTCAGGGGCAGGGGGAAATGACAAGAAAGTTTGTGGATGACATGAAGATTGGATGGTTAATAATGAGGAAGAAGTTCTCCACTTACAGAAGCATATCGATGAATTGATTAGATAGGCGGATCAGTGACAGATAAAATTTAACTCCAAGAAGTGTTGCACTGTAAAAGAAGTGACAAGACGAGAGTACTCAATGACTGGCAAGACACTAAGAAGCTAAGGGGATCTTGGAGTGCTTGACCACAGATCCCTGAAGATGGCAGGACAGGATAGTTATGAAAGTATAGAGGACAGTTGCCTTCATCAGTCATGGCATAAGATAATACAAGCAGGGAGGACATGTAGGTGCTGTACAAAACTTTGGAGAACTGTGTGCAGTTGAGGTCGCCTCACTGTAGGAAGTGTGTGATTGCTGTGGAGGATGTGCAGAAGAGATTCACCAGGATGTTGCCAGCTGTGGAGCATTTTAGCTACAAAGATGGGCTGGATAAGCTCAGCTGTTTTTGTTCAAGTAGAGAAGGCTGGAGGGATCTGATTAAGGTGAAGACAGGGTGCATAGAAAGCAGCTGTTTCCCTTCATTGAAGGGTCAATAACAAAGGGGCACATATTTAAGGTGAAAGGCAGCAAGTGTACAGGGGATTTGAGGAAATAATTTTTCACCCAGAGGGTGGTAGGGATCTGGAATGCACTGTGTTGGAGGGTGGTCAAGGTGGGAAGCCTCACAACCTTTAAAAAAAAAAGGATGAGCACTCAATGTTGTAACATTCAAGGCTGTGGGCCTGGTGTGGGAAAGCGTGGGATTAATTTTGATTTACAGTAGCTTTATGTCAATGGATATTTAATGGACTGAAGGACCTCTTCTGTATTCTATGACTCTCGAGGAAAAAAAAAACAAACATGCTAGAAGTGGGATGCATTGTAAATATGTAATCAGATGTGCACTAAACTGCCCATTCTGGGTAGAGGGCAGTATTCATTAAAGTACAGGTTGCAGCGTAACTTCGGTACGCAGGTTGTATTGTGCAAATTTGGCATCCCAAATATATTGCTATCCTTTTGGCTCAGTTATCTTCAAGTGAAGATTCCAAATACAATTCAGTGCTGCTTCTCAGGGACAGGTAGGAATCGGCAACAATTGCTCTTTTGCCAGTGGTACCCATGTATATTGGAAGAATTCTAAAAAGTCTGTTGTAAGTCAAGTGGATCTTATGCACAGAAAAATAATGCGTACTTTTAAAATGGCTTTTATAAATCTGTATAGCATTTTAACCACATCCTTAAAGTTTCTTTTTACAGCTATAGTTAAGGCTGAATTTATAAAATACTGTACACAGTAAATTTCTAAATATTCTCTATTATTTGTAATTGGAAAGAGGTGTCATTTGCAACAGTGAACTAAACAGGATGTTGGTTCTTTTAGCTAAAGAGAAAAAATACTTGCATTTGTATAGTGATTTTTCTTGCTCACTGAGCATTTTGAAGGGCTTTGCTGTGGCTTTGCTGCTACTCTCTTCAAAGTATAAAGTAAAGGTAAAGTTGCCATAGTCCTACCAGACTATACAGCTGCTGTCTAATTAGAGAGCAACAACTGGTGATGGTTTAACCTGAGGGTCACCTCACCTCGGGCAAGGGAAGAGGTTGAGAAGGAGAGTTATTCATGGTAACCGTTTCAGGTGTGGGAATTGAATCCACAATGTTGGCATTGCAGGCCCACCATCCAGTCAACTGAGCTATCTGACCAGCTTTTTTGCAGTATAGTCACGGATGAAATGTAAGAAGTGCAACAACAGTTTGGGTGCAGCAAATTTTGCAATCTTCAATGTGAAAACAGCTACTTATTTTTGTGATCTTGGTCTAGGGATAAATATTGGCATGTGGATAACTTTGCTGCAGTTATTTAAAATTACACCAAGGAATCTTTTACATCCACACGAGCAGACGAGTGTCCTTTTCATTTTAATACCTGATCCCAAAGACAACACCTCCGACTGTGGAATATTCTTTCAGTATTGCATTCAGGTGACAACCTTGATTGATTTAATTGCGCTCAAGCCTGGAGTTGGTTTTCAATGCAAAACTTTGAAGATAAAGGAAGATTTTTTTTTGAAATGATCAGTGTTAAAGTTCAAGCTTTCCAGTGTGGTCAGTTTTCTATGTGTGATAAATAGTGATATGTCTTCTTGGGAACCTCAGATGAAGTTTCAATCCATTTTACTACTAACCTTTATGACAACCTGTGAAATATTGCGAGCAGCATAGTTTGTGTCAGAGCATAAATATTTAAGTATCACAGCAACCACGTTATTAAAGCATGTCTGGCATGAATGACTGACTTGCTGGTGGGCAGCAGACATTGAGTGAAAACATTTTGTTTAAAAGGCTGACTTTTTTTTAAAAACTGTGTGTCCGATCAAATGCAGTGATTACATTTGTAATACTTGCATGAAAAGCCTGGATAACGTTCACATCACTGTTTTATTTGTACCATTTTAATTGAAATTTACGTTTGTATACCTTAAAAGATGCTGCTTGATCTCTAACAATTCCAATTAGCTTGATTCTTTATGCTTCACAATTGGAATAGAAATGAATGCTGATATTCATGAAAGAAAATGTCGTTACCCTGAAATAATTTTGCTTTTGTTTTTGCTTTTTCGATTCACTGTCCTGATATAAAATACTGAAGGAACATAGTAACTATGTGGCTCGTGGCCAGTGTGCAGACGTATAGTCAAGGTTTTGTGCTTAAAGGATCTCCGAGGACATTTCCTTTCGAATTTACAGCCAGCTTATGCTTATCTGTAATATCCTCTTGATTATTAAATACATTACCTGTTGATGTGTGCCAAGCTCACAGCTCTTCAACTTTTTGTTGTTGTGCTAAATGATGCCTTAACCCTTGGGTAACACTGAATTTTAAACTCTGCTGAACTGCCCTAAAATTTGCAGAAAAATATTGCATTTCAGTTTTTGAAAAATAAATTTTTGAAAAATATCCTGTATTGCACAAATTTAGAGGACAGAATAATTCCTGTGAAATACAACACCAGAATGCAAGTGTGAACTGTTAAAACTGCATAAAAAATGTTGTGATCTTCCATTCTTCTTGTCACCCAGGTGCTATTCACCAGCCCTTGGAAGTTTCCTTCAGCTGCAGAAGGTCCTAGGCTTGAGTGCTCTCTGCAACTACTCAATAGTCAGCTGACTGTTGACACACTTTCACAGTGTGGTTGCTGGTTTTCTAGCGATTGCCCCCAGATAAAGACTGTGACCGTAGCCTGGAAGTGTTGCATCTGAACAATAGAGTTACAAGTACTATAAACTTAGCTTGATCTAAAACCTTTGTGTGTTTCATTACTTTAATTTCAGTAATCTGAGCAATCTATATTGCCTTTAATCTCCAAAACGGGATCTTGTCAGGTCTATTTGTTATCCATCAGTCCTCCATAATTCTTCAAACTTAGTCACAGATTTATATAGAAATGGAAACACAGCCGAAACAATCTATACTAGCATACTCTAATCTGAACTGTTTTTTCAGAGTTTACAAACAAAGTCAGTGAAGAACAGAAGCGTTAGCTTGGTGAAAGAATTAATAGTAGAGAATTATAAAATTTCCTTTCTTTTAAGAGACAGTTCATAAAAATGTTGTTCACTTTCTCAGACTGTTCAGTTATTTTATGATAAAATTTGGTAGAATTATTCCAGTTTGTCTTGAATTGTTCATCTCAAGATGTTCATAGTGATATACCAGTGTTACTGAGGGAATCTAGTTCATTGAAGCAATCTTATTTCCTTATTTAAATGTCTACCCAGAGACTCATGTTGCTGTTTTTAAAGTTGTACTGAAAAAGCAGCTGTGGACAAGAAAATGAAAGGGGGGTGGTTATGAGTACAATGATCTTTTGTATTGAACTTAGTAGTTAGATACTAGCAAGAAGGCATCATGGAATCTAGTCAGAACCTTAATTATTTCAGCATAACGATTGTACTGAAATTCTGATTTAAAAAAAATGTTAAGTTTCCTGGTTCTAATACGGTAGTGTCTTCCTGCACATGACAAGATATTATCACTGATTTACCTAAATCATAAATAGAAATAATTATAGAAATCGAATTTTAAAATGAAAGAACAGAAAAATAGCACAGTTCTTAGTATTTCCACATCTGTGCTGATACTGTAAATTGTGTGTAATGTGGCGTTACATGGGAAGCAATGTGGCGATCCCTGGCATGCAATAAACACTGAAATATGTTACCTGAATATGGTGCGTGATATAGTTGTGATTAGAATTTTATTATGACTGGAATTTTTTTTGTTGTTGTACAGGAGGAAGATGGAACAGAAGAGGAGAGCAACAGGATCGAGCCAGTTGGACGTGCTGATTCTTGCCTTGAGCATGGACAGAATTTTTCGCTCGGGTACGCTTGTATTAGTAACATATTAATTATCACACGCTATCTTTTAGAAGTAGGCAGACCACAAAAGATCAGCTTGTAATGGTTATTGTGTTAAGAAGTGAAGTTTATTATTGGACAGTGGAACCCACTGAAGAGAAATGGCCAAGTTGGCAAGAAAATCATTCCCTTTTCTACAAAATCATACTTATTAAATACTGTTGGAAACAGCAGGGAAATAATTGGTGACTGAAGTATGAGTTCCTATTGGAATGACTGTTAATTGGTGGGTAGTATCTTTCAAAAGTGTACAATATATCGAGTATTGCTGAAATAAATCTTGAGGCCCAAAGGTTTTGCTTTAAAAAACAGAAGAGAGTCAGCAGGTCCATCAGCGTCATTAATTTTTCAGAAGGAGAACCTTCATCAGAATGATAATACTATACTCCTTCTCTGTTACTGAAGGCTTCACTGTGTTGCATTGAAACTTTATTAATAACTTCACCTTTACAGTCAGTGTCTTACTAATCAGACCACCAAACAATCAAAATCCTACATTACTCATTTGAAAACAGTGCAGATCAATTCAGGCCTGAGTTAACTTGTCAAATAAAAGTCTCTCATGCCTGAATTAATAGTAGGAACATATTAAAAGCTGACTCAGTGTTTGACATATTGGTACATCTACTTTGTATTTATCTATTAACAGATTTGTTCACTATTGATTAATTAACTGGTGATGCAATTTCTTTCTGATCAGTTTTAATACAGTAAGGAAATGCAATCACAAGGGATTGTCCGAGTAATTTGCATTAGGATAGTGCGAGCAAATAACATGAACCATAATTTCATCTTGGTTGTTTTATTAATTGACTGGCCTTTTCTCATGCTCCTAGACAAATGTTCAGGTATGCTGCGCACAATACTTGATGTTCTAGATATTATAAAATTTTGGTTTTTTTTTTGGGTGGTTTGCTTCATGTTTTTATGTTCCCCCATTTATCATTGTCTTTCAGTGATGTGCTGAAGCTGGTTGAAGTCTCCAATGATGGAGGGCCTTTGGGAATCCATGTAGTGCCTTTCAGTTCTACAGTTGGAAGGTAAAGCATTTTGTTCTGTATGTTTGATTTCTTTTTTTAAAACTTCATTTTATGTTTACTTAAATCCGCAGGGTGTAACAAATGGTGGATTCTCAAATGAAACATTTGTGAAGTTCGCTGCTCATATACCAGAAATTGTAATTTTCTTTGTGCAGTGTTTTAATAAAGTTAATGAACATTACATTTAGGGAACAATTGGTGTTTATCTATTTATTAGTTAAGGTTTGTATACAAATGACTGATTAGGATGTGAAACCAGCATAATGCAGCTTACACTGTTAGTAAGATGGTGCTTGATTTTTGAACAACGCATTTTTTAAAAAATAGGTGACAGCAGCTTTAGAATTTCTGCCTTCGTGAATTCACAATTTTATTCTTGCATATTCTTGCTTTGCTTGAGCATTTTAGGACATTTGCAGTTCTAACCAGGTTCCTGACGTGGAGGTGCCGTTTTGGACTTGGGTAGACAAGGTCAGAAATCACCGAACACGAGGTTATAGTCCAATAGGTTTATTTGAAAACACAAGCTTTCAGAGCTTTGCTCCTCCTTCAGGTATTAGCGAGAAAGGTAGCATCAGGCGCAGGATTTATAAGTCAAAGATCAAAGGGCCACACCACTGATGAGGATGAGATTAAACAAACCTAATATCTATGTCAGATTTACATATACATATTAATCAATTAAAACCTTCTAATGGATTAAAGATATAGCAGCATCTTAGGTTTGTTTAATACTTTCTCATCAGTGGTGTGACCCTTTGATCTTTTACTTATAAATCCTGTGCCTGATGCTACCTCTCTCACATACCTGAAAGAGGAGCGAAGCTCTGAAAGCTTGTATTTTCAAATAAACCTGTTGGACTGTAACCTGGTGTCCTGTGATTTCTGACCACATTCCTGACAGGCTGTCTCCAACAGAACTGACGTGAAAGCACAGACATCATAAAATGTTTCTCTCATCACAACTCCCGTGATTGATTTTAAACTGTTGTCTGTCTTATCTTTGTAATCAAAAGAGAATCATTGATTAAAGCAGATTTGATGTTGAATGATGCATTTGACAATATATGTCAAGATAAAACTATTAGGTTAGAAATATTACCAACACAACTTAAATAGGTGAAAATAATGTTAAAAGTGATTTGAAAGATTCCATGTTAAGATGGATGCAAGGTGCTGAAATCTATTAATGGAGCTTAATTGTGCCCAATGACATCTCCTGTTTCTCAACACATCTGGTGCCAGATCTTTTGTGAAGGAACATATTTGTTCAAGTCTTCTAGTTTCTGGATAGTTGAAGAATGGGAAATTGTTGAATGATGGGACTGCTCAGATTTCCCAATGCACTGACTACATGGTAATTTCCCAGAAAATGTAAACTTCAGGTGAGCAGTTAACTGCAGTCTGGAGCCTTCTGAAATAGTCTCCAAATTGAGTTAGAGACTTACGAGGTTCTACCTTAATCAACTCAGAAAATTTAGAGGGAATTTAAACCTGTTTTAATGCCTGCCGATATTGAGACTGCAACCCCATCGCACCATACCTAGAAATAGAGATCCCAATCCAAATGGGCCATTGTTAACTGGAATCTGTGTTTTCTGTGTTGGGACAGAGGAGAACTGAAGATATGCTGGGCCCAAGCTGAGGGATGTGAAGGGACAGAGATCAACATTTTGTGGTGTGCACCCAAGACCACTACCACAGCTCAAAGCTCATTTGAGGGGACAGTCATGGTTATCTGCTGAGCACAGCTTGGACACAGAAAAGCCCATGGACAGAAATTGGCAAAATGTGCTATTTTGGTGCATGGAGAAATATGTAAGCAACAGTCTTGGAAGAAGAAGCTCAGCAACTTTAATTAGCAGGAGTGCAGCTGGGACTAGGCCTGTGTAGAGTGGATGTAGTATTGCCTGGCCAATACGGTGAGCAGCAACCACAGGAGTGGAAGATTAATTTAGCAGTGGAGGAAAAAAGAAGCAAGACTGGATTTTGGGAGCAAATCTGAGAGATAGCTGGAAGAGTGTGCATTTTAGATTCGGCTTGTATCGATGACACTTGGGTGGAGTGAATTGGCAGTTGACTGGGGATCAAAGTAGGGAGGCTGAAATTCCTCATGAGAAAAACAGTAGTTTGAAGGACTTTGTGACTCAGTGGTCCCTGACATCTGGATTAGATGTGGACAAAATTAATCAGGTTTGTCGTGGCTGTGTCTGCTAATTGCCATTTTAAAAAATTTATTTGCAAGATGTGGACACCTCTGGCTGAGCAAGCATTTAGTGCCCATCCTCAGTTACCCTGGAGAAGTGGTGATGAGCAGCTTGTGATTTAGGTTCAATCATAATTTGACAGTTAAATCTTGTTACCTCCTGTTCATTTTGGATGTTCGAGTCTATCTTTGAGAATATTTAGTGTTTACTTGATTTCTGTGCAGTTAAAATTCTTGTTTGTTTAAAACTAAGGAATATTGTAGTCTTATTTCTTGAGCAAGTAACTATAACTTACAAATTTATCTAATTTAACGTAAAATTACTGGTCCCTAATGAGATTGTAATGACTAAAATTGCTATCCAAAAAACAGACCCTTGGATATTTCCCAAAACATAAAAAAATGTTGTTTAGAATACTATTCCCTGATTTATCATTTTTATCATATTTTCCTTTAACCTCAAGACAATATTCAACAGAAAAATCTCAATTTGAAATGGGTTATATTTTAAGAAAAGCTGTCAGGTAATAAACCTTGAAATACTATATATGACAGCAAGCAAATCTCATCTACTGTGCCAGGTTGACTTAGATGAAGTGGATTTGGTTGATGAGTTTTCCAATTTGTAAGAAATTGTCTTTGGTTGTTTCTTGGTGTGGCTGAGCAAAACTGGTCTCGCAAATATACATTTTTAGAGTATAAAAGTAGATGTCATTTGCATTCTAATGATCAGGACAGCTTAAAAATAAATCATTTCCGATTGTGCGCAGGAGTTTGAGTTGTATGTTTATTGCCCAAAACCAAAACTTTGTTTACAAGTGAAGGTTTGTGTGCACTTCTACAAAAGCCTGAGCTGACTAGAATACCAGTATTGAATATTCAAAACTGGTGGTGCCGCATCACTGCTCTTGCAACTTGGAAAGGTCACAAAAGTCATTTCACTGCATCTTCATCAACAGCTGACAAAATACAGCAAGCAACTTGCAGGGCTCGAGCAGACAGAATGTTAAGATCACCTAAAAAGCCATCTGTCTCTGTGAAATTGTGTTGCTGCATAAAATTAGATAAGAAAGTCGATAGATAGGTTTGCCCCTTATAAGCTCTTTGATAGTTACAGTGCAGCAAATAGTTTGCTGTTATTCTAAACTTGTGAAGATTAAAAGTTGTATGAATCTTTTGAAACACCAAAAATCTGCACCAAATGTCAATCCTGTTCAACAACAGAAACAGGGTGAATGAAAATGACCATTGCTACCAAATACTAATGACAGAATTATGTAATTGAACATATTTTCCCCTTATTTAGTATAACCTTGAAGATTTCAATAAATGTTGGCGATTTTCGATGTGGTGAGCAGAAGAGACAAGAGTACAGTGACCTCTGACTCAGTTCTGAGGAAGGGTCACCGGACCCGAAACGTTAACTCTGTTTTCTCCTTCACAGATGCTGCCAGACCTGCTGAGCTTTTCCAGCAACTTTGTTTTTGTTCCTGATTTACAGCATTCGCAGTTCTTTTGGTTTTTACTTTGCATCCAAGTGTTTGAATGCATTTTTGCTACGTTGTCAAGTGCTTATAGTTGTTCACACCAATCTAATTTTTTTCTGACTTTTCCATAATAAAAACTTATTCCTGCATCTTTAATGTAAAAATAAATGTCCAAAGTGCTTAAGGGGGGCATAAGGTGAAATAACTCCATAGGGGCCGGTAACTCGTCATCAAGTCACCCTTTACTTACATGCACATTGTACTTGATACAAATCCGGCTTCCTCAGAGCCAGCTCTCCAAGTGAGCAGAACCTCTGACACTCCTGTTTATATCTGTCAGCCAGGGCTCTCTGATTGGACCAGGCTAACAGCTCCAATCAGGGAACTCCTATTCTGTGAGATCTACCTGTCTGACCAGAGGTAAATTTCACTACATGATGAATGATGGCAGATTTCCTTCCCTGAAGAATATTTGTTGCTCCTGAGCCAAAAAAGAATAAATTCCCAGGAGTTTTCAAAAGGTTCGTTAAAGAGGTAGGTCTTTTTTTTAAAAAAGAGGATCTGAAAGGGTATGTAGCCCAAGAGTTGAGCTGTAGGGAGAGGCTGAATAGTCTGAGACATTTTTCCCTGGAGCGTTCCAGGGTGAGGGGGTGACTTTATTATAGAGGTTTATAAAAGCATTGCAGGGCATGGATAGGGAACAGTCAAGGTCTTTTTCCCCAGGCTCGGGGAGTTCAAAACTAGAGGGCATAGGTTTAAGGTGAGGGGGAAAATATTTAAAAGCGACCCAAGGGACAATTTTTCACGCAGAGGATGGTTTGTGTATGGAATGAACTGACAGAGGAAGTGGTGGAGGCTGGTGCAATTACAACATTTTAAAAGGCATCTGGATGGGTATATGAATAGGAAGAGTTTAGAGGGGTTTGGGCCAAATACTGGCAAATGGGACTAGATTAGTTTAGGATATCTGGTTGGCGTGGAAGAGTTAGACTGCATGGTCTATTTCTATGCTGTACATCCCAATGACTGTATGACTTTGAGGGCTTAGCTGTCAGTTTGACACATTAGAGACATGATGATAAGTTTTGAGCAAGTGAAAAGAGACAGGGCAGATAGAAGAACACAAGGGAATAGCTGTGATCAAGTGAAAAGCAGGAGAGGCTCAATACCAAAAGAGGTCATGATGGAAGGCCAAAGGGAGTAGTAATGGGACGAGTAAAAATTTTGACCATTTGTTCCTCTTTGTGTTCTTACTCAGTAAAACAGGCTTTCCTCATTTGTCTTTGCAACAGTGATTGCATTTAATTAGTTAATTAGTTGTGAAATCTTTAAAATTGCAAGCTGTGCATTGATTAGATTCATTTGTGTGCTGTGACAACGCAATTTTGTTAAAAAAAAATTGCTTCTGTTTTGATATTGCAAATTATTTACGTATGATCAGTAACTAAATTCATGCACATGTTTTCAGCAGACAAACTAAAGGCTTGCCGTTAGACATCATGGGCACTTTGCAACAATGGCTGTGACTCTGGGGTCAGGAGTAAAAAGGAATGACACTTTCCATTGATCTTGAGAAAGGCTGCCAACAATGTTTTTGTGCTGTCGAGCAGTCTTCTGATTTTGTAGTTATTTTGCATTTGTTGTCTTCTGCAGTGAGCTTGTGATGTTCAGGAACTGAGAAAGCAGCATGGAGGCTGATAAGACTGAAGAATTCACACAGAGTTTAAAGTAGGACATAAAGAAATCAGGAAATATCAGTCACATTGAAATTATTGCACAGAATGCAAACTTAAGATTGGAGCATACATGTGAGATTGAGGGAGAAATTTAAACAACAGAATGCAAACTATTTTTATATATTTTAAAATCTGCAGCATTTTAATTTTCCTCTACAGCAAAGAGTCTCTACCTTTTTGTAAAATTAATTTTCAAACCCAGAAGGAAGTCTGAAGTAATTGATTTAATGCACCAAAAAACTCAAGTTACTCTTGATTGAACAAAAGTTTGTAATTTGTCTTTAGAGTGAGAACAGTGGGTAATTAGTTGAAGTTACAGAAGGGGATGGTGTAGTACCATTAGTCCAGAGACCCAGGTAATGTTCTTGGTACTGGGGTTTGAATCCTGCTGTGGCAGATGAGATTTGAATTCAATAAAAATCTGAAATTAAGTGTCTAATGATGACCATGAAACTGTTGCCAGAGTATATTATTGCAGATGCTGGAATCTGTATTGAAAACTACAAATGCTGGAGATCATAGTGGGTCAGGCAACATCCATGGAGAGAGCGCAAGCTTATGACTCATTAGAACTGAAGTGAAACCATTGTTTGTTGTTGGAAAAACCCATCTGGTTCACTAATATCCTTTTAGGGAAGGAAATCTGCCATTCTTACTTGATCTGTTCTACATATGACTCCAGACCCACAGCAATATGGTTGTCTCCTGATTGCCCTGTGGGCAGGAAATGCTGGCCTAACCAGTGATGCCCACATCCTATAAATGAATGATAAAAGATCATACAAAATCAGTGATTTTGGTGTTGATTCTTGCCATGAGTACCTCACAACACCACACCTGATAAAGGGGCACATTATCTTTGACAGCAGATTCCAGATTTTCACTTTAAACTGCAGATACACTAATACCTGAACAAAAACAAAGCTGCTGGAAAAGCTCAGCAGGTCTAGCAGCAGCTGTGAAGGCAAAAACAGAGTTAACGTTTCGGGTCCGTTGACTCTTCCTCAGAACTGATGGTGGTTGGGAAAACGTCAGTTTGTATGCGGAAAAAAGTGAGGGAGATGGTGTAGGGAGTAAATGATAGGATAGAGCCCAAAGAGAGAGAAGAGCAGTTGGATAGACAAAAAGTTGCTAACGATCAGGCTGGGAGGGTGAATAGTTGTTAATGGGGACTATCAGTGACTATTAGTGACAGGGGGTGTGTGATGGCAGCTATGTGGTAACAAGGCTTGGAGTGTGGGCTAGGAGGCTGGGACATTGGTGAGTTTAGGCCCTAGTTCTGAGGAAGGGTCACCGGACCCGAAACAATAACTCTGTTTTTCCTTCACAGGTGCTGCCAGACCTGCTGAGCTTTTCCAGCAACTTTGTTTTTGTTCCTGATTATAGTGTATTCAGTTCTTTCGGTTTTTATTTGCTAATATCTGAGGTTGCTGTCAGATTGTTTTCAGTAATAAGTCAGGCAGTACAACCTCACCGTTACTGGACCATTGTTTTGTTGACTGAAGCTGGTTCACCCACTTATCTGCTGAATGTTTAGCTTTAGATGCACGTTGATTAGCACATGACAGTTCCGTTGATGGTCAAAAGGTGTTAAGGTTAATTAAAGTGGTAGTAACATTTACAAATTCTGCGTTGGGCCCATCTGTGATGAGCATCAAAAATATTAATCATGTCTCCATGATACTGTTATCCCGTTTATCTTGTGTCATATTTCATGAAGAGCACCCAGCGATATTTGACTTTGGAGGCAGTTAATTCATGTTTTTCTCACAGCTGTAAACCCCAGTTTAAAGCCACCAAATGCTTTGCAAAAATCCCACCATCAGGAGAAACCATTTGTGTGAATTTTAGAAGTGACTTTGTGATCACATTAATTATGTCTTAACAGTAAGTGATCTTTGATCCTCGTTTGCAAAAATTTTAGAAGCTGAACAACTATTATTTCCACCCACGTTTCCACCCTTTCATAATTTTTCTACTGTTACTCTTAATAAGACGGTTGAAATGATATTTGGCTATTCATGTAAAGTTGTCTTGCTTTCTTCCCATATTTTAGAAATAATCATCATCATTTTCCACCAGAGATGGGCGAAGTTAACTCTCCCGTAGAAGCAGAGATCTTACTGTTAAAATACCCCTTTAACTCAATAAGATCTTTACTTTGAACTTTGTGTTTGCTTTCCTCTGTGAATTTAAGGGAAGAAGTATTTTAAATGAATATGGCATAAATGGCTAACCTCAGTAAGAAAGAAGTAATAATGACAAGCTGTTATTGCACGAGAAGGAAGTTGATTTCTACGGTGTCTTATCCTAGCTTCAGAATGTCTTCCAAGTGCTTCACAACTGGGGAATTAATTTTAAAGTACAGTAGACCAGCAAATGAAATATATTTCTGTTCTGGTCTCTTGTTGATGCTAGCTGAGGAAGGAATGCAGTTCTGTATTCAAAAAAATGCATTTGAATCTTTTGTGCCCACCTGAATAAATAGGTAGGCCTTCAGTTAAATAATATCTGCTTTTAAAGGAAACACCAACAATGTAGCACGACATATCTAGTGGTTGTTGAGACTGTGTGCTCAAGGCCAGGAATATGATTTAAGTAATTAGCTGTGCTTTTTTAATCGTTTATGTGATCTTACATTCAGCATTCATTATCTATTCCTAATTGCCTTTGGTTGAGCAAGTATCCCTCACATAGGGAAAAGAAATGGAACTAATACTGCATATTTTAGATTTGATTTTTATATGATATGAAGGGTTTTTTTGTCACTTTGGAATGAACCCCAAAATTTCAAAAGAATTTTCAGAAGTCATAGAATTCCAATGTGCAGCCATCTCCACCTTGGAACACACAAAAGCATGTTAAAATAAGTTGTGTAACATCAGGTGCATTGCAGGCATAAATTTGATGTTGTAACTTTGAAATATTAGCATCTTATAACCACTTGAAAAATGTGGGTTTCTGTGGTAGTAGTTGCTGCAAATGTAATAATTCCAGTAGACATATCTTAAGGTGAGTGGTTTTGAGTCTCTCTGGAGCATGCAAATACATTTTTAAATCTGATGAGCTTGTCTGAAGGCAAGTGAAGTGCAAACATACTCACATTGCAATAAAAACTGGAGTGTATTTTGCATTCTGTTATGTTTTATGCACCTTGTTTAAAGTGTGAAGTAAAGAGATGTGATCATTCTCTTGTAGGACTCTGGGGTTACTGGTGAAACGTCTAGAGAAAGGCGGTAAAGCTGACCGGGAGAAACTGTTTGATGAGAACGATTGTATCGTCAAAATAAATGGTGGTGATTTGCGAAATACACGCTTTGAACAGTATGTACCTTGGCTGCACATTTAAGTTTAAATCCTGCTTTAAGCTATGTCCCTAGCTTCTGGATATTTCAGGAAATGTACAAGAAATGTATTGCAGAAAATACGGAGGCATGGGATTGAGGGTGATTTAGTGGTTTGGATCAGAAATTGGTTAGCTGTAAGAAGACAGAGGGTGGTGGTTGATGGGAAATGTTCATCCTGGTGTTCAGTTACCAGTGGTGTACCTCAAGGATCTGTTTTGGGGCCACTGCTGTTTGTTATTTTTATAAATGACCTGGATGAGGGCGTAGAAGGATGGGTTAGTAAATTTGCAGATGACACCAAAGTCGGTGGAGTTGTGGATAGTGCGGAAGGATGTTGCAGGTTACAGAGGGACATAGATAAGCTGCAGAGCTGGGCTGAGAGGTGGCAAATGGAGTTTAATGCGGAAAAGTGTGAGGTGATTCACTTTGGAAGGAGTAACAGGAATACAGAGTACTGGGCTAATGGTAAGATTCTTGGTAGTGTGGATGAGCAGA